CTGTAATGATTAGCTAGATTAGGCTACTTCCAAGCTACTGGATTGGATTCTTTTAGTAAATGTTTGCAATATTTTTCTGATTGTTAAAATGCAGTGTGTGCATGTTTTATGAAGTATTCAATATTTGTTCAAATTTACAATCATTAAATTTTGTTTATTTTTTTTTAACTATATTTTTATATAAATGCCATAACAATAGTTCTTGGGATGTGATTTAATCAAGAATTGAACATGGAATGTTTGCAAAAGTTAGGTTGCAAAATTCAACTTCGAAACTTTTCAAAATCATCTATTTTGTTGCGCCATAAACCTAAACCAGTCAGGGATCCAAGTAAACGTCAGTTTACAGGTGAAAAATTAGTTGAAAGACTAAAGAAAAAAGAAGCCGATATACAAGCTCAAAAGGTGCTTTATATTTGTCTTTTAAGATGATTTTTTAAATTCTTTTTTAATAATAACATAAAAATTTGTTGTGTGATTATATTATGTAGACTATTTTAGTTTTTTAATTTTTAAAAAAACCTTATTTACCATAACATAACAACAATATAATTTAATTTAACAATAGCATAATTTAATTTAACAACAACAAAATTTACCATAACATAACAACAACATGATTAATTTAGCAACAACATAATTTGCCATCAGTTTAAAAGCAAATTTTTTTTATTTCATTAACATATTTAGTAGTTTAAGCAAAAATTTTTATCCATTGAAATATTTAAATTCATTTTTGATATCGTTTTATGCTGTGTTTTTTGAGATTAAATTAATTATTGTAAAAAATGTTAATCACATTTGTGAAATAATTTTTTGATTAAAAATAACTGGGAGTTAAATAAATTTGAGTTAAATTTAATTAAAAAACTTTAAATTAAATATGATTTTAAAATATTAAAAGTAAATTTAACTTTAAAGGAATTGGTTTCACCAGTGGCGTGCTGGCCCCAGAGGCTATGCGAGAATCCCGCATGGGCCTATAGCTATTTATCCTAGAAGGGCCTTTTTTTTGAATTTTTATACCCTTTACTGCATTTTGAAAATGATTCACCAATGATATTTATTTGCTTTATTTTTTATTCCACAAGTTAAATTCTTTAACAAATCTCTGATACTAACTGCTGGACTTTAAGCGCATATATATTAGTAATTTGCATAATAAAATGCAACTGTTAATAACTTTTGCCTCAAAACAAAGTCGATATAGGAAAAAATAATTGATCGTTATTGTCACTTAAATCGCTTATTATATCAGTCGTTATATAGATAAAATTGTTTAAGTTAGCCAATGATTATTATGAGAAATAATTGAGTTCAATTTTTAATTATGTAAAAATATTCATATTGATAAAATTTTTGTTAAATTAGATCGATTAACTGTTTTTTCATAAACAAAAATCGTAACAATTTAAAGTATAAATTGTATGAGTAAAAAAATATTTATTGCTCTTATTTTATGTTCTACAGATATTTAAAAAGTAGTTAGTAAAAAGTAGTAATATTTTTTCTAATAATACAAATAAATAAATAAAGCATTTTATTTCTATTTGAAAGTATTCCAGATTAATTCATCTCATAGAACTCAAATACGTTGAAACTAATATTTAACTTTAGTAACTTTTTTTTTCAAAGAACATAGTTGTAAAATCCATGTTTGTTGTAATTATAGCTTCTTTTTTTTTTTAAGATTTGACATAGAATAGAAAATTTTAAAAATTGTATATATTTAATTTGAACTTCAAGTTGATAAGACCGTAAGGACTTCTTGGGGCACATTTAAAAAAAAAAAATTTTTGTACCATTGTTTTTGTAACGTTAATAAACGTTTCCTCTTGTATTAACGCTTGTACTTTATAAATAATTTTTCATCACTTCTCTACGGCTCAGGGTGTTCCATATAGCTCACATTTTTTTTCATGAGCGAAGGTTTACAAGTATTTATAATCTATCAATCTTTAAATTAATAGTTATTAAAATAATTATATATATCTATAAATTTTAATAATACGACTGAATAATGGTACAGTTATTTACATTATTTTGTTTACTTAGAAAACTCACTAGATAAAATGCCAATTCAAACAAAACCTATATATATATATATATATATATATATATATATATATATATATATATATATATATATATATATATATATATATATATATGTATATATATATATATATATATATATATATATATATATATATATATATATATATATATATATATATATATATATATATACATATATATATGTATATATATATATATATATATATATATATATATATATATATATATATATATATATATATATATATATACATATATATATATATGTATATATATATATATATATACATATATATATGTATATATATAATATATATATATATATATATATATATAATATATATATATATATATATATATCAGGCCTTGCGATGAATAAGAACTGCGCGACGCATAAGCACGACATGATTTTTGATGTCATTAAATTCTTTTTATTTGCTTTTCATATTTATCGACATTAACTGCACCAATTTACTTAATTACCGCAAAACTTCTTTAAATCATTAATGTAGAAATGTTATCATTTAAAAATGTTTTGGAATGTTTCATTTTTTAAAATGTAAAAACATTTGTTTATTTTCTCGATGTTTGACACGTTTTGTCTATTCTAAAGGAATAAAAAACATGTATTCTAAAGGAGTAAAACTATTCTAAAGGAATAAAAACTCTTGTATTAACGCTTGTACTTTATAAATAATTTTTCATCACTTCTCTACGGCTCAGGGTGTTCCATATAGCTCACATTTTTTTTCATGAGCGAAGGTTTACAAATATTTATAATCTATCAATCTTTAAATTAATAGTTATTAAAATAATTATATATATCTATAAATTTTAATAATACGACTGAATAATGGTACAGTTATTTACATTATTTTGTTTACTTAGAAAACTCACTAGATAAAATGCCAATTCAAACAAAACCTATATATATATTATATATATATTATATATATATATATATATATATATATATATATATATATATATATATATATATATATATAATATATATATATATATATATATTTATATATATGTATATATATATATATATATATATATATATATATATATATATATATATATATATATATATATATATATATATACATATATATGTATATATATATATATATATATATATATATATATATATATATATATATATATATATATATACATATATATATATGTATATATATATATATATATATATACATATATATATGTATATATATATATATATATATATATATATATATATATATATATATATATATATATATATATATATCAGGCCTTGCGATGAATAAGAACTGCGCGACGCATAAGCACGACATGATTTTTGATGTCATTAAATTCTTTTTATTTGCTTTTCATATTTATCGACATTAACTGCACCAATTTACTTAATTACCGCAAAACTTCTTTAAATCATTAATGTAGAAATGTTATCATTTAAAAATGTTTTGGAATGTTTCATTTTTTAAAATGTAAAAACATTTGTTTATTTTCTCGATGTTTGACACGTTTTGTCTATTCTAAAGGAATAAAAAACATAAGTTTTTCAAATAATTATTTTTTCTTTTTAAGTCAGAGAGTAATAAACTGGAAATTTTTATAATGTACGATTAAAAACTGTGCAATAGCTAATATTTTTACTAGCGATTTTATATAATATTTTTTTATTTATTTATTTTCATAAAGCGGAAGATAAGCACAATCACTCGTATTATTAAAAAACTTTAACGAACGTTTTGAATAGATTTTTAATGTTTACTAGGAATTTTATTTTTGGTAAATAAAATAAAATGTTAGAATAAAAATCTTTTAGGTATAAAAGAAATATTTCAGCGAAAAAATTATTCCTAAAAATTAATATCAAAAATTATTCGAAAAACTATTGACGTTCTATTTTTCAGCAGCTGTTCTTAAGCACGCTTCGTTGAGTTTCGATAACTTTTAACAAAAATGCGATTGTTATTATTTAAGTAATTTTTTTCGAGTAACTTTTTACAAAAATTTTAATAACTGTACTTTTTTATTGAATCAAGTAGAATACGTTTTAATATTAATCTTTTTATTTTTTTTATTTGCGCTTACCAATTTTTAAAATGTTTCCTCGAAATTACTCTTAAATACTTTAAATTCGTCTAACAGTTAATAAATATTTTTAAATCTATGGAATAATTTTAAAACCTAACAAACCCCTGTAAAATAATTATTTAAGTTAAAAATCTAAAACTAAAAGAAAGTATTTTTGTTCAATTTTATCGACAACTTTGCTATTGCTGATTAATTTTATTAAAATGCTAGCTTAAAAAGATTTAAACTTTTTTTTAATCTGAATTTTTTCTACTTGTAACTAATGAGCATATTTATTTTTTTTGTAATTCTAACATGATAACTAGATAAACTGCGTGCGGTTTTTAAAATACTTTATTAAATGTTAAAATAATCGTATATTACTTCATTAAAATTCCGCTCAAAAATATCTTTAAATATACTCAAACAAAAAATTTTTTGCTCAACGCAAATAGCCCTAGCTACACGCAAAATCGCCCTTGGACGACGTAAAATTCACATCGCCCGACGCTTTATCGCAAGGCCTGATATATATATATATATTGTGCGGCCGTGGTGCAATGGTTACAGATTTGCTTTATAAGCAGGAGATCCATTTTCGAAATGAGCTCTGGACATATTTTCGCGTCATGGTAAGGAAGGAGGCGTGAACTTCCTGCTTAAATGCACTTCCGTGGTGCTCTGTGACAAGACCGTTAGGTCTTCTTAGGGCACCTAAAATAACAAAAAATTAAAAAATATATATACAAATGTGGGCCTTCAAATCAATCATATTTGGAAAAATCCTGCATAATATGGGCCTTTTTGAAAAAATCCCGCAAGTGCATTTTGGAGCCAGCACACCCCTGGGTTTCACAACACATCTTAAAGAAATAGTTAATTTTTTTTATTTGCAATTTAATTCATTACATAAAAAAGTTAAGAGTTTACAAAAAGTCTTTATCATAGATTTAAATGTGTAAAAGCAACTATAAAACTTTTGTTTGTTTGTTTTAAGGAGAAGTGTTTTTGTTTAAGATAATTTTTTTTCACTTATGGAATTAAAACTTTTTGTTATTTATTTATATTCAAAACCACATTAAGTTTGTATGAAAAATAAGTTTGTTTTATTTATAAATGCTAATTATGTTTACAAATATATTGGTAACTGATAAAATATATCTTTAAATTGTTTACAATATTTGTTAAAAATAGTTTTTTAAATACGTAAAAATAAAAAAACAAAAAAACTAATTTGTTATAAAATAAACAAAAGATTATTATGTTATGAATAAAATAGTTTCAAGAAGTAATAAAGAAGTGAAAAATTTTTTGAAATAACAAATTTAGATTTCAATTGTAATTTTTGGTATAGTTGTTTAAAAGATTTTAACGTGATTTAAAATTAAATTTAATTAAGAAGCTGTACTTTAAAATCAACTAATGATGCAATTTAACTATTAACAGTATAAAAGTTATTTCTTAAATTCACTTAAATATAATCTGAATTTATTATGCAAATTCCACACTTATATATAAAATATAAGTAAGCAACATTCATAAAGTTCACCACTATAATTGTAGTTATAAAATAAATTTTTAGGCCTACAAAAATGACAAATTTACATGTTTAATTGTTATAATTTATAACTTATAGAATTTTTAGTTTTGGCAGCCATACCGGTCAAACGGTGTGAGATTACGTCTGGGTACCGCACTGAATATATGTATATGTTTAACAGCCTAATTACTTGTTGATATATTGGTATATTAAAAGTGAAAAATGGAATCTTTGAATGTTGAAATGGAATTAGTAACATTTTGATTGTGCCCTCTTGTTTCAACACTTTCTAGTTTTTGCAGGGCAAATGAAATTACATAATTAAGTTATATCCCATCTTTTTCTATATGCAAAATTATGTATAATTTGCAATAAAGTTTTATAAAAAGTAAAGTTTTAATTTTTAATTTTTTGTCTAATTAACTATTATCAAAGTATTTTCTATATTCTATGCTTTTCTATTGATCTTAACAAAAGCTTTTGTGTCATATACATATAGTTTTGCATTGTTGTTTAGTTGAATAATGAAGTCATTAATATACCCCAAAAAGAACCGAATTTGTAAAGTTTAGCACTTTCGGGTACAGATTTTACAAAAAAAAAAAGAACACTTATGGGGACATTAGCATTATCAGGGACATTTTAGTGTACCTTTTAATTTTTTGTCCCTGTAAGCATGTTTCTTACAAAAGTTTCTTACAGTTACATTACGTAATAATATAAATACAGTTATTTACAGTTACATTTTTTTACAAAAAAATGTAACTGTAAGAAACTTTTATTGAGAACGAAAAGTACATACATCGAAATATATATACATATATATATATATATATATATATATATATATATATATATATATATATATATATATATATATATATATATATATATATATATATATATATATATATATATATATATATATGTATGTAGTGTTATATAGTGTACAGTATAATCTTTTAAGTTGATTTAAGCAAAATTTAATATTTTTCATAGTAGTTTAGATTTATTTAGCCTTACAAAGATGCTGTTGCTGCAGTTGTAGCACGTTTTCAGAGGGAACTGGCAGAAGAAGAGCGAATTAAAAATGACATTCTTGGAGAATTTGCTAAGAGAGAGATGGAAGAAAGGGAAAAGGTTTTAAATAACATGGCAATTGTCGCTAAGAGTAACGAGGAGCTTAGAATAAAAAGGTTTGAATAAATATTTAAAGTAATTTAAAGATAGCAGTTGGTGTTTTGAATTAGTTTTAAAATCTTTTTTTTTTTTTTTTAAAGTGCCATTTTTAACTTCCAAGTTAAAATAGATTTGTTTATATTTTTTTCTTATAATGATAAAAAATGATTTAATAGAAGTTTAATAAATGCACAAATAACTGAGTCTTTTTGGTTATGCTCAACTTGTTTCTCTGTGTAGCGGCCTTGTTTGTCAAGGTTCGTGTTTCGGAGTTACAGAGTTAAGAAAGGGTTATTACCACAATTAAGTAGCCTCCTCATCTGTAATGGTTTTCTTGGCCTAGGGAGGTGAATTTACATTAAAAAAAAACCAAACACATGGTCTCATCACTGGCTCTTTAACTGTTGCAAGTAATGACAGTACGTACATGCCTACTCATCATACCCGTTTTATTAACTAAGCTATTTTGGATTGATTATCAAGTCACATAGTAGCATATCACTTGGAGCCAAATTTTGATAGCCTCTTAGCGAACAATAGTTACTACCTACTGGTCTTAAAATATAACGAAGCCATAAAGTTACATATCCCATTGCCAACTGCTCCATTTATCGCCAAAAAAAAAAATAATGGTTCACTTCAGAAGCCAAAGCAATTGTCAAAAGAAAATGCAAGTTATGGGGCAAATGTAGAGCCTCTGGGGGCCACTCTCACGAATCATTACAAAAAGAACACTAATAAGCCGCATGTAAAGAAGTAAAAAAAATCCTTAAACAGGCCATATACACATTTGAGAGACAGCTAGTTTGTAATTCAAAGTCTGATTCAAAAAAGAAAATGAAAGAACTGATCAACGCTCTAAAGATAATGGACGGAACCACAACAGTTGACAAGGAAATCATCTGTCATACTCTTAACAACTTTGATTTGGTGTTTGTCACAAATCAAACACATAAGATGCCTGAAACACAGATTACTGAAGGTGTTATTCTTAATCTCGATAAAGAAAGTCGATTTGAAGATGCCAAATTTATTCAAACATTTTATGGAAAGTAAAACTGATGGATCCTGTAATATATCATGCTGTAAAAGCTGCTCAGCAGAAGAAGCTTTAGCTTTAATGTTAGACTGTAGAATGAGTAGAACTGACTATCAAACAATCTGTCAAGGGACTTTAGATAAAGGTTGCATGTTATACCCTGCCTACAATTTTATTGTGAAAGCTAAAAGTGATTGCATTCCAGATTCTGGATTTGTCACATCAAATTACAGTGCTTCTGTTAAACTTCAAGGAATAATGGCTCACATTACAAACAGAATTTGGAAAGTTATGGATAAATTGAAACTACCTGAGCCTTGCAATACTCTTCTTCTTATAAACAAAGTCGGATTTGATGGTTCATCTGGACAGTCTGTTTATAAACAAAACTGAAGTTGAAGAGCACAGATTACCGATTCCAGTTGAAGAATCTTTGTTTCTTTTGTGTACAGTACCTGTGCCTAAAATACAGGAAACTAATGTTATTCTTTGGACTTATATTGTTAAAGCAGAATATGAATTTTTAATGTTAACTGATCTCAGACCAACAACTATAGACTTATTTCAAATCAAGCACAAGTTAGAAAGTACTATGATTGATGGGAAAGTTTCCACCTTTCTCTCTCCATTAAGTGATTCTTATCAAGTTTGCAATATATGCGGATTAAATCTTAAAAAAATGAATGACTTTGTAATTGCTTACAATAGACAACCAAATCAGATTTCTTTGGACAGATTTCTCTGGATTCATTGTTAGAAACAAAGCGAGAAAGGCATTTAGAAGCCATTAAACTTTTGCTGAAATACTTGAAATTGATAAGGATCTTGTTAAAAGATTTTTCATTATTCTTTGTGTATTATCCTGTAAGCACCCAATTGATCCAGATAAACTAGAAATATATTGCTAAGATACATTTAAGACATATGTAGCACATTTTAAATGGTATCCTATGCCTGCTGGAGTGTACAAGATGATTGTCCATTCACACCAGGTTGTAAGAGACAAGCCAGTTCTAATTGGTCTCTTATCTGAAAAAGCCCAGGAAAGTAGAAACAAAGATGTTAAAAATTTTCAAGAACATTTTACAAGAAAATTTTCTAGAAAAATTACAAATCAAGATGTAATGCAAAGGTTGTTCTGCTCATCAGACCCTTTTATTACTTCTATTAGGTGAAGTTCTGAATCAAAGAATAAACTTATTTTATTTTTATTTATAATATTATATGTTATTTTTATTTATAATCTCAGTGTAAAGCCAATATTATGTGTTCTTTTTAAGTAGTCATATGCTCTTGTTGTGCTCCCATATGCATAAAATATGTCAAAAGTATGTATTAATCAACCAGGAAGTCAAACTATAGAAATCAGTATTATTAAAAATATTTTAAAATTTAGATCTAAGTATATATACAAAAAAATTTTATGTCATGTGTCCTTGGTGTGTTAGTTTAGAGTTGTTTATTCTACACATTAATATTCGTAATATTTGTAAGTGTACCATAAATCATGGAAATTATTAAATTAATTTAAATATTGTCATGTAATATGTGTCATGTTGTGTCTACTTTTTGGCCTTAGTGTTGTCCTTGTGTCATATGTTGTGTCTACTTTACATGCTTATGCAATCTATCAAGATGTTATAAATGTATAATTTGTCCTCGAGAGAATATTTAGTTAAAAGGTATTCCAAAAATAGTTATGTTAAACTAAGTACATTAAATGTAAGCTATTATGCTATGTGTTCATGGTGTTCTGCACATGTATAATATTTATTCATTCAAACAAAAATGTGTCATACATGCTGGTGACTCATAGTTAATAGAAAGTTGAAAGTTAAATGTGAAATACGTATCACATGTTTATTACTCATTATTTCATTTGTCCTTGGTTTTGTGGTATTGGTGTGTTCTTCAGAGGTATGGCAACTGAAATTACAATGATAGTTATTGTTGGGCAGGGTATAATGAAATTCACTTTAAATTTTAACTTTTTAGCTTCAAAATTGGCGAAGATATGATTTTTGTCTCAAAAGTGACATTTCTGGACCAATGTGTACCACTTAAATGATATCTTTAGACTTGTTTGAATATTAAAAAAATGATAAAAAGTCGTGGAACTATAATGGCTTATCGCTTACGTTAAAAAGCTTAATGTGTACATGAATGGCACACCGTTTTATGCTTTAAAACAAGGCCTGGGTACACCATCACAGAAAGGTCGGGCCACAATAGACCAAGTTCTCTCTGGGCAAGAACAACATGAAGTGGGAGTCAGAAATCATTTCCCCATGTTGTCCAAGACTAAGGTTTTATACTGTCTTTGTTTATTTAATGTGCAATTATTTTTTCTTACCAGACCAAATCAATGTTCTCTTGTTTTTTCTCAATTGAAATTTTGTGTGTGATGTGGTCATAGAATCAAAGTTTAATGTAAACGCTTTTCCACAATCTTTAGACATAAGCAATTGAAATATAACACTTTTAATCCAAAAACAAATATTTTGTTATAGTGTTATTATATATAAAAAAGTATTAGTGCATATGCATAAACAATTAGTAAAGGAAGGACAAAAAACATCAGATAAACAATTTTTGCTCTAACAAGCACTAAGAAAATTATTTTGTTTTTAACTTCTTAATTAATTTTTCCTTACTTACATTTTTTTGCCATTAATTATATTGTTGTTATATTATGTTATACTTAAAATTAGTATTTATTTACATATTACATTTATGTTATGTTATATTTGTTATTATGTTATATTTTTAATTAATAATTATTTCCAATTATGTTGCTTATTTAATTATACGTTTATTTTATTTATTGTTGTATTTATACTACATTTATACCGCAATCTATTTATAGAGAAGCAGATAAAAAAGCAAAAGAAGAAGAGAAAAACTTGCTTGAAGAAGAGAATAAACTGAAAGAAACTTTAAAACAAAAGGAGTTATATCACAAGAATCGGGATATTGTTTTAAGATTAATTGTAAGATTTTTTACTTCAATAGTCTTTGATTTTTTTTTAATCATAAATAAAACTCTCAAAAGTATATATAATTATAATTGTTATTGATTATATCTAAGTAATAAGTTGGATAATTGGTTTCCATGAAAGGTCAGTAGCGAAAGATAATCCAAGAAATGTAAAGTAGAGGTCAATTTAGGATCAACAATATTGTGATAAATTAACTAATTAAATAACAAGATTTTGTTTATATTCATCAGCTATTTTAAGCCCTTAAACTTACTTATTCTTAAAAGAGGTTACATTCAAGATCTGCACCCTGTTCTAAGAAATCAAAGTGATGACATTTTGTCAAGACTAGAGTATATAGTTGTGTAAAATAGCAAATAGAGCCACTTTAGTTGTAAGGTCGTCTGGAAAATTAATATTATAAATATGAATTTATTTATTTATTTACACTTTTGCCGATAAAAAAATTTACAGTCGTAACTTATAAAAAAAAATAATTACATGACCGGGGCTAGAAGAAGACAAATTTAGTCTTATCATTAAGCCCCAAAGTCTTATCATTAAGCCCCAAAGTCTTATCATTAAGCCCCAAAGTTAATAAAAGAATTAATAAAATAAATATGAGAAACAATATAGGACCATAAGTTAAACTGTGTTGAACCCTAGAAGTTACTGGAAATGAAGAAGTGTAAAGTAGCAAATAGAGCCACTTTAGTTGTAGGGTCGTCTGCAAAACTATTAATATAGATGAGAAACAATATAGGACCAAGAGTGAAACTTTGTTGTACCCCAGAGGTTACTGGAAATGAAGAAGAGAGTTGGTTTTCAAGGATTATCTAAATACTGAGGTTAGAAAAAAATGATTTGAAATTTTAAAAACTATTCTAGATGCATTGTAGAAACTTCATATGCATCTGGAAACTTTTCTAGATGTATATAAAGCTAGTTTATGGAAAAGTTCAGCATGTCAGAGTTTATTTAAAGCCTTTGATATGTTAAAAAGCAATAGCCCTTGCCTTGCCAACTTCATATAACGCATGAACCTTTCTGCTATAATAGTCCTTGCCTTGCCATCTCGATCTGCTATAATAGTTTATAAGTCAACTATAGATTATGAGGTTTGAAGTCTTGATTGTAAAAAAGTAAGTTGTACAACTTAAGATAAGATTTTTGAAGTTTGTTAAGTTTTTTAAGGCTTAAAGAGCTTGTTAATAATAGAGAGAACACTGATTGGGCGAGACCTAGAAGGGTCAGAGTTTTAAGATTTGTTTTAGTAAGAGTTTTTAAAAATTGAAAATTACTGATGCCATTTTCTAGCAGGCAGGGAATGGTTTTAAAGTTTTTAAGTATTTTTTTGTTTTCAATGAATTATTCATTTTTATGGCATTCTCAATATTTATATACTTTAGTATAAACTTTTATACAAATATTCTTTCCATTAGAATATTTGAATATTTTTGAATAAATATTTACCACATTATCTTAAACACTGGCATAGGAATAGGTGGCAGAGGGGCGATAACCTTTCCACCCACCCCAATTTTCTCAAAACCTGTTTTTTCTATTCAAATTTTGATTCTGATTGCCTTAGCTCTCGTTTATTTCTGGAATTACCGCATTCAACATGTTTCTTTGCGGTGATTTCGGAGTTAAGGGTTAAGAGAGACTTGCCATTTAAAAAAAAAAATAGTTCTTGATAGTAGTTAAGTCAAGGATGCCTTCAGACTTATATATGTGAACCAAATTTAAATTTAAAAAAATATTTTTTCTCAAGAAAAAGGTATAAAGTAATCAGTTTTAAATGAATTCATTTTTTGCTCTGATTTGGTTTTTAGTTAGGACAAAGTTGTGTTTCTTTACTTGGCCATAAACTATATCTGATGGCTCTTATACAAGCTTCATAGACCTTTCTACTGATTGTGAATTGTTGGGTAAATCCATAAGAATATGTTTTTTAGAAGTTTGCAAAGCATTTTCTAACTCAAATAATCAAATTAGGATAGAAGTTGGAGGTTCAACCTCAATTAAAGAAACATCAACTAAACTACTCCATGTATCAGTATTAAATTTAATAGGCATAATTAATTTTGCTTTGATTTTTGGTTTGACTTCCGGATTTACTTCTCTTGATTGCCTTATGTGCAAAACTTACTTAATTGCTTGAGCCCTTATATCTTTTTCATGATCTTGCAACATAGAATATAAAATGTTTTCTTGAAGACAGCAATAAGAGTTTCCTTGAAGATTTCGAAAAACAATTTGTTGTATATTGTCTGTCTGATTTTTAACAAGCTCTATTGTCTTATGAAGATGTCTAGGAGCATCTTTATAAAGACCAGACTTTTTATGACCAAACCACATGGGGCAAAATACTTGGGCTATATGCTTTGTAATTGTGTAAAACTCATCTGTAAGATTCTTCACTCTTGCATAAGCCATTATTATTCTTAAAGCTAGAGTTAACCATCTGGCATGGTAAAAAGGTGCTAGTTTTTTCATTGAATATTTTGGGGATATAAAACTTATTCCAATACAGTATTTGTAAAGGTTATGCTAATTTGTACTAAAATGAGATAAAATATTATAGTTTATAGTTTTTTATAGAGTCAATGTCTTAATGAATTGGAACAAAATCAACTTTTAGTAAATCATGCAAATCACCTGCAGAAGTTTTTGACCAATATGGCCCTTATATTTCTTTGGATCTTTACTTTTACCATCTGCTTCAGCTATGACATAATAAATTGGTAACTCATTTTGGTGAAGTGCACATCCTATTAAATGGATTCGTCGGTTTAAAAGCTTTTCTAATGTCACAACTAAGCCATTATGGACACCAATATTAGCAGAAGTATTATCAAGAACAATGGCTTCCAAACTACTAATGCTGTTGTATTTTTCAAGTGTTTTTAGTATCTCGATTGCCATTGTAATTCTTGTTTTTTTTTTTTTTCTTTCAATATGAGTTAAATATTTCTTAGAAAAAGTTCCACTTTCTGCAGTAAAAGTTTAGTGATGTTCATCTTTTACTGTTCTATTAATAATAGGCTCAGCTTAATGATCAGATCCTTATATATGTGCTAATGTATTTTTGTCTTTTTTACTATCTAATCCAATGAGTTTCAAATAAAAAACTTCTGAACTGTGTTTTTCAGTAATCGTGGTTGAAACATGCTTTTTAGTGTCAAATATCTTTTTTTCAGTGATAATTTTGTGATCTGTCGTTCTGAGTTATAATTTGATAGTCTATCAAGGTAGCAATTGCTATGGCAGGTGTTGCAGCATCACTAACTTCGAACCTGATAGCAGCTTTTGCAATGTTAATTAAATCTGTTTAATTTTTTTTTCACACATTGATTTTGCAAAAAATTCATGATTCTGATTTTTATAATCTTCATTGTCATCTATTTCCACATCATAAGTTTCACTGTTACAATTATTATCTGAATGGAGTGTCATGTCAATTATATTAATTTTCTCCTTACTTCTTTTTCTTGCAATCTTGTCTTTTTCTTATCAATTTGGCCTATCTGTAGGTTCCAAAGGGCCCTTGCTTAACTTTCTAAGTCTTTAATTACAGTCATTTTAGAACCTGTAACCTTAAATTAAAAAAATTCATTTTATAGCTTATAGAAAGTATTTTAAAAAATAACAAGCATAAAAAAAGATAACACAAAAAAAAAAATTGAATGTAGCCTGTTTGCTTTCTTCACAAAGACATACGTAGTGCTTAGGGTTTGGTGGTTTTTCAAAACCGGTTTTCTATTTTTTAATTTTTTCATGTATATTTTGGTTACACAATAACAATTTGTTAAGTTAGTTTAGTAAGCTGTTTTCTTTGCTTTTTTAACATGCAGCTTTAACCTTTTTCCTGCGGTAGATGGATTTCATTTTTTACAAAATGTTATGTAATAGTTATGCAATAGAAACAGTTGCATGTCTTAAAATATATGGATGTAAAGACAAAGTTATAGGGAAAATTTTGCCGAAATTGCTTCCTGAAAAAAAAAAAATTCTTCTTAGATAGTTTGGATTTAATATTCATTTATATGTATTTATAAAATGTATTTATATGCAAGAATATATTATGTTAATATATTTATAAATGTAATAACTTAATATGTTTATGCATTAAACTATGGATTAACAACTCTTTTGCAAAATTGAAAATTCCTGAAAACATTTCCAGTCAAGCAAAAAAATCTATTATACTTCCTTTAGTTTCAAAAATCCACATCATTAAACTGTCTGAAAAGTCATTGTCTACAATATAAAATTCTATTGTGAACATAGACATAACATTGTGAACATTCTAGAAGAGTCTGCAAAAAACCTTATTAACCCAAAGACACTGAAAGCTGATTTTTTTATTATTTGAGGCAACCCATAAATGAACATAAATGAAAAAATTTAGTCACAAATTTGTTTGAACAAACATATTGTTTAATGTTTTGGCTTTTTTCAAATGTTTTATTAACTATAAGCCTGCCGTCACAATTTAAAATATATCCACATTTTGCATTCATTTGATATTTAAATTGAGTCTGAAAAATATTTTTTTATTAACTTATAAGATAATATCATGTGAAAATACCATAAAATACAGTAGCTAAATATACGGCTAAAATAAATACTTTATCCATATTAGATTTTGTATAATATTTTATATCTTAAAATATTGAAAAAAGTAACCTTTGGGATCGTCCATAAATTATGCAACGCAATTTTAAAAACAGAAGTAAGAATTATTTTCTTTTACACAGCGATTTTTATTTCACTTGGCTATTATAATTATTCACTTAAATTCTCTGAGGGAAAACTTTTGATCTTTTTTGCTTTTTTTATTGTAAAATATTGCGTTATGTAATTTGTGGATGATCCCTTTTCTCAACAGTAAAATGGAAACACATTTAAAAATGGCGAACTTGTTGTTATTATAGCAATTTATGGTGCGAAAATTTTATAATCTGAAAACAACATATCTTAACATCAGACAGCACCTTTTTGCATGAGTTTCTTGTTATAAAAAAATTTTTGTTCCCAATTTTTTCCAGGTTTTTACCACCTTATTCTTGTGAAAAAGGTGGTAGAAATGATTCCAGTTAGAAATACCAGCTGCACAAGAAAACCACAGAGTGAGGTGAAAACCATGGGGTAGAGTGAGTCTTGAATTAAAACCGATGAGAAGGAATAAGAATTTCCATCTTTGCCTGAATTCAAGAGATTATGTAGGAGATCTTGACAATACACACCAAAAGCACCAGCAGAGACACCATCCATGTGTAACATGAATAAATTTTTAAGCTTTTGATAGAATCAGCCTTTTGGAGAGCTTTCAAAGAGTTTGGAAATCTTACTACCAACCAACGTAGAACCTAATATATATATATATATATATATATATATATATATATATATATATATATATATATATATATATATATATATATATATATATATATATGTATATATATATATATATATATATATATATATATATATATATATATATATATATATATATATATATATATATATATATATATATATATATATATATATATATATTAGGGTGGCTCTTAAAACAATTTTTTTGAGTAAAACCTGCTCTTACCACTTTAATTTATAATACTAAAACACAAGGTTAAATATTTTTTTGAACAAAAAATATTTTTAGGGGTAGCTCAGGACCCTTAAAAATTTGACGGGTCCCTAACATTTTGAAAAAAAAAATTTTTTTGTTTAAAAAAATTTTAAACCTAATGTTTTAGTATTATAAAGAACAAATTAAAGAGGTAAGAGAAAGTTTTTCTTCAAAAAGTTGTTTAAAAACCACCCTAATATATATATATATATATATATATATATATATATATATATATATATATATATATATATATATATATATATATATATATATATATATAATATATATATATATGTATGTATGTATGTATGTATGTATGTATGTATGTATGTATGTATGTATGTATGTATGTATATATATATATATATATATATATATATATATATATATATATATATATATATATGTATATATACATGTGTGTGTATATACATGTGTGTGTATATATATATATATATATATATATATATATTATATATATATATATATATATATATATATATATATATATATATATGTATGTATATATATATATATGTATATATACATATGTGTGTGTGTGTATATATATATATATATATATATATATATATATATATATATATATATATATATATATATATATATGTATGTTTTTTTTAGGAGGAGAGCAAAACCTTTGTGAATTTAGAAAACTTAGATGATAAAATAACGTTTGCGCTCGAAAACGAGACTTATTATAATTATGCAATTACGCCTTTTGGAGAAAAAATAATCTCGCAGAAACCACCAGGTAATTTGGGTGTGTGGAAAGGTCCCAGTCCTACGGCATACATCATAGGAGGTATCAAACCAGGTAGTGCGGAATGGAAGTCTGCGTTTGAAAATACCGAAAGAACATCATAGTCAATTAAAAAAAAAATTTTAATTATTAATCTAGTAAGATTTTTTATGAAAAAAACGCAATTTTATTTCTTTTCTTAATTTGTTTTTTGGGGGAGAAACGACTATTTTTTAGCATTAAATTTAATATTAAAAAAAAAAAAAATAAAGTTAAAATTCTCAATATGTTTTAAAATACCAAATTTTTTTTCTTATGCAAATATAAAACTTGTATAATATAGTTCTTTATAATACAAAATCATATTGCATATACTTATATTGTGTAGTATGTATTTTCTCTATTTTTTATAATATATATATATATTTAAAAAAAGAGAAAATACATTATACACAATATTACAACTGAATGGAATTTTTCCAATTAATATGCATAGGTTTTAAAGTTTTACCCCCGTCTAAAAAGTGCGTATACTTGATGTTTTATTAATTTTTTTTAAATTATTATTTTTTTTTAATCTCTTTTTTTATTAAAAAGAACACTCAGTTATGAGCTTCAGTTTACTTACATATTTTACGTAAACACCTTAAATCTTCATAAAGAAATAAACAGATGAAATTGTTCAATTTTGTTTTTAAATTTTTGATTCGGTTCTACTCACTATATTATTTTTTAAACTATGTTTTCCAGACTTAATAAAACAAATGCATTTAACATTTACTTCGTAATTAAATAGTTATGTTTCTAGACGCTTCGGCGTTGTTTGTTGAAAAACAAATAATTGCCCAAATTTTACCAAAACGAATATTCGAACGTTAAAATTCTTTAAAATCCGCAAAATCGATTTTGTTTAGTTTTTAAGTAATATTTCCCGTCAGTTTTCAGTTGTTGATCCGTTTCTTCAGTTTGACCATTTCTCCTTTCTTATTTTTAAAACTTGCGTATGTCAAAAGAATTTTTGCTGGTATAATTTCACCTGCGTTAAAATTAACAAAACAATGTTTAGACAGCGCGGAGTTTACGTAATTCACTTAAGTTATTTTAATTTTTTTTTTTTAATTTTTTTTTTGTTTGTATTTTACTAGCTTTTAAATCAAATTATCAAGTTAATCAAAGTCATTAATAATGAAAAACATGTTTCACATTTAGTCAACAGCACAAAAATAACTCCGAAAAATATTTGAGTTTGCAGAAAAAAAGATACAAAATTTAAGTAAAATTTATAAATGTAATTTTCAAAAGTTTTACAAAATTGAATGTTAACTTGATGAAATTTAAAGTCGTTTAAAATGCTTGAATGAAATTTTAAGTTGTTTAATGTTTAATATGTAAGGTAAAATTTTTTTTTTTTTTTCGTATTATTTTAAATTTTAAGGAATCAATTAGACATCTTATATATATTTATTTAAAATAGTAACAAATCTTATAATCATTGGTCCGAATCTTTAAAAAAATATCACAGGTATTGCAAAAAATTTTAAAAATGATAGATATAAATTACTGGATACGGCATAGGCAGAAAAAATTGAAGCCGAGCAAACTTTACTGTGATGACGTAGAGTGAGGCAAATTTAGTTAAGAACAACATAAATACTATTTACATATTTACATTTCAATTTCAAGTAATATTTTGCGTTTCATAGAATTTGTAATTATTTTTTTGAATTAGTATGTCACGAATTAACTTAGTATATAATTCATATATGGTTTTATATTGCAAGATTTATATGAAGTTTATAGAAGATTAACTTTATAAAAATATACATCTACATTTATGTATAGTATATTTATGTATAATATACATACATGTTTGTGTACTATTGCTTAAAGACTTGATACTAGTATTGAAATGTGCTTTTGGATGTACAGGTAAATCTGCTGAAGGGACCTGATGATATTTTCATAGGTAGGAATATAGTTCATAAACAAACTGTATATATAGGTATATGTAAATATAACTGTATGTATAAACCTAAATATATATATATATATATATATATATTTATTTATTTATCTACTATAGCATGTTTATATGCGCAATTGCTCACTTTTTTTGCTAGCCTAAATTAAGTGAGCGTTTTTAGAAAACGATGAGGGAAAACGAAGAATAATGAATGAAAAGGTTGCTGACCCATACCAAACCCTCAGTCGATGTAGCAGCACTCCACTGCGAGTCAGGCTATTTGTCAGTCGATGTATGTACTGAAGCCCCCAGCAGCAGGCTATTTGACGTTAAGTGAGTATGACATCATCATGCTCACATCATATATATATATAAATAATATATATATATATATATATATATATATATATATATATATATATATATATATATATATATATATATATATATATATATATATATATATATATATATATATATACATATATATATATGTATATATATATATATATATTTATATATATATATATATATATTATTTATATATATATATTATTTATATATATTTATATATATATATATATATATATATATATTTATATATATATATATATATATTATTTATATATATATATTATTTATATATATTTATATATATATATATATATATATATATATATGTTTGTATGTATCATACATTGTCATGTATGTGTGTATGTATGTAACATACATATACACATAAGTTATATGTGTGAATCTATATTTTTATTTAATATAGATACATGTATACATTTGTTTATAAAATTTGTATGAATTCTATCCTTGATATGACCGGTTTTACACATTTTATTTAAGTAAAACATATTACCTTAAACTAAAAAATTTAATATCCTTGTCAATATGGGTACACCAAGTGTTTATAATATACATAAATATAAATATATTTTATAGTAAATATAATACACATAGATAAAGATGTATAAAAATATGGTTACTGTCTTCTAAGAACACTATCTTTTGTAAAACCAAATTGATTCAATGAAAATATATTGGTAATATTAAGACTATATATTTTATTTTTCAATACTACTTTACTATAAAATAGCTGCTAATCATTGGATTTTCAGGTCTCTTGATCAACGCGACACTATTAAATTAATGATATACTTAATTCTTTAATCTAGTAACTTTATCATACAGAATATATAAGCTAACATAATGAATTTTGGATTGAAGTTATTAAACATCTAAATATTAACGGATTTGTATTTTAACTTTTTGCCTCACTCTACGTCACTTTTTCAACGGAAGAGCGGCTTCAAAATTTTTTCTAAAATTATAAGACTGCCGTATCCACTAATTTATATATCTATGGTTTTACCTGACAAATTTGATTAAAAAGTTCGAAGTCATTTTTGCTCACAACTGTATGACTTGACTCCAGATTCCCTAAATATATTGTTGGATTTTCCGCACGTGGTTACTGCATATCGCACGAGAGTTTTTAATACTTGAGCATTTTATTAATGGTTTACTTGACCTCGTTTCTGTAGTCTAGATTTTAGGTTATTTTAATTAAAATTAATAATAAGATTGTAGCTCTCATGAGGCTCGACATCCCAAAAAGATAGGAATTTTTTTAAATCATAATAAACCATACTTTTTATCAATTAATACCCAGCCAGTACCCATACGTTGTTAAAACATTAGAACAATGTCACGCGTTTTGTTGGCCCAACATCGGCTGCCAACGTTGTTTTTATATCATTGTGGTTACGAATGCGACGTCGCCAACAACTCAAAACCAATATTGATAAAACGTATATTTTAAGTCGAAAAATGGTTATATTTTCTACGTTGATTCAACGTTTTATTTTATATGTTGGCCCAACGTTGTATTTTAAGTTGGCACAACATTGTATTTACGTTGATTCAACGTTGAATTTTAATTGACAAAATGTTGTATACAATATTCGGAATTAAATTTTCATTAAGTTCTATTTTTTAAAATATATATATACAATATATTTTTATGTGGATATAATATATACATTTATATATATAAATATTTATAATACCAAATACAGACAATATAAACAAAAAAATGTTGAAAGGCTTGATCATGGGAACAAAAATCATGTTTGTATTGATTGTGGTTTAATATTTTAATAATCACGGAAGATTTTATTTAAGTTATATAATTTCGCTATAGCAATGTTTAGTCGTTTACATTGGATCAACGTTGGGTTTAGTTCGTAAAACAATCAACCTTTTGCGATATATTTACATACATTGGATCAACATTGATTCATATGCATTGAATCAACATCGAAATAAATACATTAGATCAACGTTGGGTTTGGATCGTAAAAACAATCAACTTTTTGAGATGTTTTTACATACAATGCAAAAGCGTTGACTTATATACATCGAATCAATGTCGAGGTATATACATCGGATCATCGTTGGGTTTAGATCCTAAAAACAATCAATTTTTTGCGATGTTTTTATATACATTGAAAAAATGTTGATTTATATACGTTGAACCAACGTCGAAACATATACATTGGGTCAACATTGAGTTTAGATCGTAAAAACGATCAACTTTTTGCTATGCTTTTACATACATTGGACCAATGTAAATTTGCCAATTGAGCCGACGTTTGCGATGGTTTTACATACTTTGGCCCAATGTAAAAGTGCTAGCTGGGTATTTTGATTAAAACCACGATAACAAAATCCCAATAGTAAAATATCAAAGAATTGCTCTTAACTAGAATTCTTAATTAAACTGCATTTTAAACAACTTGCAGCTGTGGCTCAGCTGTTATGGGACTTTCTCTAGAAGTATAAGATCCAGTGGTTGAAGCAAGCTCTGAACATATTTGGCGCTATCGGTGAGGAAGTGTGAACTTCTTAATTAAATGCTTTTCGGCGGTACTTTAGTTAAATAACTTAAACCATACTTTAAGTATTTTATCCAGCTGTAAAATAACGTACTCTCTACTAGCGTCAACGTATTTTCTACAGACGTTAATTTTCTTACAAAGCTTTGGTGTAATTTAATAAAAGGCTTAATGCCTACGTTAAAGTTACGGTTACAATATGTCACCTAATATGAGCATAAGTGAGCCTGTGAGAAATCGTGCTTTTTTAAATAAATTTGTTAAAGCTAAAATATTTTATATTTACTTTTCTTGAAAAAAGAAATCAGTTTTTATATAATA